AAATAAATTAATAGGAGCATAAGCAGTTCTGTCATATTTGCATTTTTTTATTTTGCTGTCACACCTCTGAGTAAGGTTGTGATAGTGTCACCCACTGCAGCCCACACCCCTAACCAGCCCACTGAGGCTCGGCATTGGAAAATATTCACACCGTAAGATGAAATGTGACAAGTAATTTGGAAAAAAAAAAAAAAATTTTGTGAGTAGTACTTTATTTCTTTAATAATTTTTTCTCTGAATTGTTCAGAACTTTTAGAATATAATTAAAATAATACAAATTTAGCAAACCTTTACAAAAATAACTAGAACAGCATAAACGTTCAATAATCGGACCAAAAGTATCCAAATGCGACAACTATCGTAGAACGATATTATTTTATGCTAGTTTCATACAAATAATTTATGCAAATATACAATAATAAAAAATTATTTCAAATTAAATTTTAAAGAAATCCTTTTTTCGAAAAAACATTTTAAACAAATCTCTATACTATAACATTTTTTTTAAAATCTATACATATATTGGTAATGAATTTAAAATTATAACAAATTAAAAAAGGTTAAATTTTTGCAAGAAATTATTTAACGATTTTTAATCACTTTTGGATACGGTTATTGACTTTTGTTCAAGAAAAAATATGAAACCAATATATTTTTAAATAACCTGGATAATGTAGAATTGTAAAATATTAATAATACAAAAATTATCGAACTTGCTTTTTTATTATTCTGTCAATATCAAAATTTTCAAACCACTGCACAGTGGGTCAGAAGTCGGCAAAACCTAAAACATAAAGTTTAAAAAAACTTTTTTTTTTTTTTTTTTAATATAGGTTAAATAAGTCTAATATACGAAAATAATATTATTTATGATAATAGATTATGATTAAATAGAAATACTTGGCCGCAAACTACTCCAGTTCCGTCAGCAAGCAATGTTGAAAATTATTCATTATTTTTTCTAAATATTGCCGTTTATTTTTACATGCTTCCTGCTTTAAAAGGTAGGAAAATTTTATGCTATATTTTTTGAATTTGTATATAGATGTATAATTTATCCTCAAAATATCATTATAAAAAATATAACAGTATTTTTTTATGCCTAACTGTACAGGCTGTTTTTTAAATTATGTAAATTCTTTTTTTCTTTGTTGGTGTTTAAATAGTAGTGTATTAAGCAATATTAAAGATATGTTGCAGCTGTTTTCATAAGTACTTGATGTGTACTACTATTATCAAGCAAAATATTTTGCCAGTTTTTGCCAGTCTAGAGTGAGCAATGATTTTAATATGTAATAATTGTAATTTTTATAAACCGGCCGTGTTGTTATCTCATTAATATAATTTTTATAGTCCGGACGGACTATACTATTTATTGGCGAATATTTAAGAGAACATAATAATAAGAAAGAAAATATAATAATAATAATAATAAAAAAATATTATTAGACAATATATTCCTTTTGTATATATCTGTTCATATTGGGCATAAAATATTACAGTAGGTTGCCTAGTTTTTAACAAACACATGCTCATTATTTTGTTTGTACATTTAATCTACTCTCTCTCTCTTTCCCTCTCTCACTCTCTCTCTCTCTCTCTCTCTCTCTCTCTCTCTATATATATATATATATATATATATATATATATATATATATATATATATATATATATATATATATATATATATATAGTATATATATATATGTATATATATATATGTGTATATATATATATATATATATATATATATATATATATATATATATATATATATATATATATATATATATATATATGTATATATATATATATACATATATATATATATATATATATATATATATATATATATATATATATATATATATATATATATATATATATATATATATATATATATATACATATATATACACACATTATTATATATATTATTATATTATCTATTCTTATATTAATAGATGTTCTTTTTAATTTTAGATGAATAGAAGACAGTTATACATTTATATTAAAGAAACTGACTGTAATAAAAATGATTTACTTTGTAAACTGGTTGAGTATGTGGAAAATGTTTCACCAAACACATTTTTAGATATAAAGCCAACATTATCATCATTTGTTCATCAATACAAACGTAAAATGACAACTGTAAAAAGGGAGTATACTCAATTTGAAAATAAATATGCTACTTGGCTAGATGCTATTATTTCTTTTAAACTAATAAAAGCTGTTACTCCTGAAAAAAATTATGGTGGAAGACCAGAAACACCTTTTAACAAATCTTCAATACGATCAAAGGACAGAAAAGTTTCTAACATTATACATATGTACTCTACTAACGAAATATTATATGCAGCTTCAAGGTCATTAAAAAAAGATGGGAGAAATGCAGAGGCTATCAGTGTCAAAAGTATTTTATATACCCCTCAAGCAAGTCTTTTTTCTGACAAAGCACTAGCACTCTTCTTAGATGCTAATCTGTCAAAGGCAACATACCAACTTCTCCGCAACAATGCTTTGGATCTAGATTCAGCTATTTATCCAACATACCATGATTTAAAGAGTGCAAAAGACAGATGTTATCCAGATGATGTTATAATCTCTGATTACTCAGCAGAAATTCCGTTGCAGTCTCTACTTCAGCACACATCACAACGACTTTGTGATTCTCAGATAGAAGTGCTGACTGCTGATTCCCTTAAAATCTTTAAAAAACTTACACTTAGATCAAAAATAGGATTTGATGGTGCAACTGGTCTGTCAGTGTATAAGCAGTCGAGTACAGATGAGGCTGGCAGGAGTTTAGCCAATGAAGTATCTTTATTTATTACATGCTTAGTGCCATTAGACTTATACTTTTTTACAGATGCCAAGCGGCAGCTTGTTTGGAGGAATCATAAACCTTCGTTGCCTATTTTTTGCAGACCTGTCCGGTTTAAATACATCAAAGAAACAAAGGAAGTAGTCTTAGAAGAATTTGAGTCAATTAAAAATGACATCAAAACACTCCCAGTTTCTAAAGTGATAATTGCTGGACAGACATTAGATGTACATCATATCATAGATATCACTATGATTGATGGGAAAGTGCAGACCATAATTTCCACTGCTACAACTTCCACTCAGTGTTGCAGTGTTTGTGGCATCTCACCAAAGTTCATGAATGATCTGCCAATAGTTTTAAAAAAAGAAGTGAAAAATGAGAATCTGCAGAATGGCATCTCAACACTTCATGCCTGGATTAGGCTTTTTGAGTGTTTACTACATATTGCATACAAGATTCCAATTCAGAAATGGCAAGCAAGAGGTGTAGATGATAAAGCTATAGTTGCCACCAGAAAGAAGAAAATACAAGTTGCATTCCAAAATGAGATGGGTCTTGTTGTAGACCAGCCATGCTCTGGGGGTGCTGGTACCTCAAATGATGGGAACACTGCACGTCGTGTGTTTCAGCAGGCTGAAAAGTCTGCTGAAATAATGGGTGTTAGTCCTGTTCTTATCAGAAGACTACATTCAATATTATCAGTGATGTCTTCTGGATTTGATATTGAACCTAACAAATTTAAAAAATATTGTTTTGAGACTGCAGAGTTGTATACACAGTTATATATATGGTATCCTATGTCACAGACTTTACATAAAGTTCTGATTCATGGACATCTAGTGATAGAATTTTTTTAGCTTGCCTCTTGGCATGATGTCTGAGGAAGCACAAGAAGCCTCAAATAAGTACTTTAAAAAATACAGGGAGTGCTTCTCTAGAAAATGTGACAGAAAAAAAACCAATTTGGACGTGTTTCATCGCCTTTTATGCCATTCAGATCCTTTTATTGCTCAATACCGTAAAACAAACAGTACAAGAAAAGCTATTCTGCCTGCCGATGCAATTGCTCTGTTGAAAGAGCCCAGCATCATTTGCTCTTTGTGAGTTTTTGATGATATCTTAGAAATAAATGTTTTTGCCAATGAATGTACGTGTTTAGCAATAAATGTTTAATTATATATAAGATTTTTTTTTTCAATATAAATAAAAACAACATCTTAATATATTAATATAGTTTTTAATCATAGTTTTATTTGTTTTAATTTATTATGAGGTTTTGGCTAGAAATTAACTATTTTAACCCATTATAGTTTTTTATTATTGTGCATAGTAATAATAAAGGTTCTACCATCTAGTGTTGCTAGATTATTGCAAGAATCTAGAATAGTATACTTTTTATACTATTCTAGATTCAAAAAAAACTTTAAATAATATTTTTGTTTCTAATTTTATTGCCGAATTAAGGGAGGGGGGCTATGGCCCCGGGGCCTTAAATTTTAGGGGCCCCGTAACATTCAAGAAGACCTTCCCCTTACAAATCGTGCTATATAAATTTGGCTAATAAAGTACTGCAGAAAAAAATAGCCCCGGGTCCCGAATGTTCTTAATCCGCCTCTGGCTAGTTTACGGAATTTTTTTTATAGGCTAAAAAATTGGAATTTTTCAAAATTATGCAATAAAAATCCAAGTTTTTATAAAACTAAAATTTTTTTTTGCATAATTTGTTTTTCAATATAATACACCGTTTGTAATAAAAAAAAAAAAAATTAAAATATATTTTAGAGGTTTTGGCTGAAAATTGGCACCTCTGACCCACTGTGCACTGTGTCATTAGTAATTTCCTATACGATATTGGTTTAATCTTATAGGAACCCTGTAGATCTTAAAGAATTTTTCAAATTTTTATAGAAACATAATAATTCTTACAGGAATACAGTATTGATCCTAATACTGAAAGTATTGACGTATTAATTTAGGTTTTTTTTCTTTTATATTATTATATTATAATCACTTATCATTATTACTGAATAATATTTTATTCAATACCAACCGCAATATTAACATCTTATACATCAAAATAACTTAATATTATTATTGAAATCTTTTGACATGATTATTAACAAGTATTTTTATAATAATATTTTTAACTTAAACATATAAAACACAAGTAATTAAATATATTCATATACTCGAATGTGAATATGCTGGTATTAACAAGATTGTGAAAAAATTATTTAAAAAATAAATAAAAAAAGAAAACGAAAAGGATAAATATTTAACCATAAAAATATTAAGAAAAAAAACTTCATAAAAGTCTTTATTGAAATATACACAATGTTGAAAGTTTTTGAAGAAAATGAAGTTTTATATTTTAACGAACCCAATGTTCAGGCTGTTAATAGCCTATGCATATCTTCTTCTGAATCTTCGTCACTGCTAAGAATTTCTGCTATCGTTTTTTTTCGAAACATGGCTACTACGTTGTATATCAGTCCAATATAATACACCTAAGAAAAAAAAATTAAAATGAGAAAAATATCATTACAAATAAACTTATTTTTAGTAATACATTTAAAAGTCAACGTATGGTTTGACGCCATAGAATATGCAAAGGTAGACATCGACAATGGAAAAATGGCCGGCAACCGGCACATTAACAGTATTGCTATTGCCACCGGCAGAATTTTCTGACTAGGAAATGCAATTGATGTCGCTGGTAACTTGACATCCATTTTATTACGTTGGTACTTTATAACTACTATCAGTTATGTTTTTATGTTTTACCTTTATTATTTGAGCTAATCTGATATAAAACCCTCGCTCAAATGCGGGTATAGACAGAGCTCATAAAATTAAAGATTAATTTTACGAGTGATCGACACAATAAAAATATAAGACAGACGAAAGACTTATAGACAGCCTTTTGTCTTCAGCTCTTGACCAATAGAATGTAAAGGCCTATAAAAATATTCCCTATATAATTGCAGCAGCTGCAAAAGTTACAAAAAGAAGCAAAATAAAAAAAAAAAAAACGATTTTTTTGAAACATTTAGAGTTCAGTGTTTTGAACATCAACCATCTGCTATCATCATCTGCTACCATCATCTTTTGTCTCATAATAAAATCTTTAGTATGCCAAATTAAAATTAAAACTTAAAAATTAAAAAAAACCTAAATGTAAAAACATCTTTATTTAGGTTACCAATTTGTCAGCTGAGGACTAATGTGTTTTTTATGTTTTCAATCAACAATTATTCACGAACCAGTGGGGCGTGTGTTGAATAAATCTGAACACAGAAATAATAGAACTTTAGGAAATATTAAAGTAATTAGTAGGACTTTTTGGCAAAAGGCCAGATAAATATACATATTAAAGTCTAAAACTTAATTTTCTGGGAAACAAAAAAATGGACATACGGTCTCCTGGTGACGAAGTGTGCCACCAACGAAAAGTTTATCAATTAATAAGTAATAGTGATGCTCAAGTAAACATAAAAAACATACTGATAATAATATTAATATTAATACAGAATGTGAACAAATTCTTCTCTTGTAGTTTATAAATTTTATTTCATTAGATGAGTTTAAAATAATGTTAAAATTTATTGTTACATTATTACTTAGTTGCTATGTTTATTAGTAAAATAGTTGACCTATACCTAATTTTTACTTAATCAGTTTAAGACAATACCTGAATTTAATTTTCAGGCTAATGACTCACTCCAACCGTTTGTATGGGTAGGAATGAATCAGCAGGAACACCTGCATTATTGTAAGTCTTTAAAAATCTGAAGATATTTAATTATTATATTTTGAATTTTTTTTATTTCTATTTGAAAGTCAATATACTTAGGATAAGGAGCCTAAAGCTACTTTAAGCTCCTTATCCTACTTTTTTTTTTTTCACTTTTGGTTTCTTTATTATAACCGTTTTTAAAAAAAATGGCTTACTCCTACCCATCCTCCCCTATTTTCAAATAGTAAACTTTTATACTAAGAACGTAAGATCATTATTGTCTCACTATCATAAACTTTGCTTTGTTCAAACGAAACAAAAGTTGTTTTTGCTAATTATTATTACAATAATGTTGATATTCCTGTATTAATGATTTTCTCAGATTATCTCTAATTATTATTGCTCCATGATGTCATCTTACTACTAACACCATTTTCTATTTTTATAAATCTCTTATACTTGTACTGAGTACTACTATTATGTTAGCTAAGTTTGAACTTCTATCACATTTCTGTAACGTCTTTCTCTTTTCCATAAATACAACTATGGTTGCTGTAAAGTAAAGCAATTATTTTTTTATTCTTTTTTATTATTACTGTAAAGTAAAGCTATTACTACTATTACTGTAAAGTATCTAGCTATCGTCTCTTTATCCTGCCTTGTAATTATCAAAATTTTTAATTATATTGTCACAAATTAAAGTCTTTAATAGTGACATCTACTTTATGCCAAAAAATTTTATTAATTTTTTTGTGTGAGCTCAAGAGCTAATGCTTAATGTTTTCTTGATTTTTATAATTACAGCATTCTTAGTGTTCCCATATACCTGGAGATCTCCATATTTTGAGACTAAAAATAAGACTCTGGGGGATTTCAGAAAAAAACAAGGAACCTCCTCATTTTTGGAGGTTTCTATAATACTTAAACTTTGAATATATATGGAAGTGAGAATGTGAAAATTATTAAATGTAAATGTTTTTAGTTGTTTTGTAAATGTTTTGAGAATGCTTATACAATATTCTCTTCTCTCCTTAATATTTAAAATTGTTCATGTATCCAAACACAAAGAGCATGAACATCAAATATTCAGATTATAAAGTATTTTGGTTACAAAAGAGGTTATTCTTTGAATTTATAGTTTAACGTTTAACTTTTTTTTCATAAGAGATAAATTAATTAGAATGTCAAATCTTAACCAAAATGTAGAATAGAAAAAGTATAGCTGCACTTTTAATGATTTTCTCCAAGAAAGTTTTTCTCATTTTAAGAAATTAAAAACTCTATGTAAAATATGCCCTGCTGGAACATATATTTCTGTTTTTACAAAGGTAAGAAATAATTATCTAAATTTTCTTATCTTAATCTTATTTATCTAATGACTAATTGATTTTTTTTTACATAAAAATATTTATATAAATTTTATTTTTACTTATTATGTATATTTTTATGTCAACCAAAAAAAGAAGACATAAACAAATATAAAAACAATATAAATAATTTTAATTAACAGTGGAAAAAAAAAAAAAATTATATATATATATATTTTTGTTTTATTATTTTTTATTTTCTCTTTATACATGCCTATGTATATATAGATATGTTTTATATAGTATATATAGATATGTTTTATACATTTTTATATATTTTTCTAAATTTTCCAAATATAGAAAGTTTCAGTTAGAACCTTGTCATGAAATAAGAATTATTGTTAACAAAAAAGCGCCAGAACTTTAGTAACTTTATATGTCACGAAATAAGAATTCATTTTGTTAACAAAAAAACATTTTATAAACATATTTTGAAATTTGTAACTATTGAGAAAATTTAGTTTTTACAAAAAATTTCAGGGCTTTTTTTTTATGTAAAAAAAAAGTGGACTACTGCTTTGATTATACTTAAAATTATTTGCCAAAGTATAATATTAACCTTTTGACTTTTTTAAAAATTTTTTTAAACTTTTTTTAAACTTTTTTTAAATAAATTTTACACTTAAATAATAAAACTTAAAATACATTAATAATCATTTTTATAGTTTGTGCTAACTGACCCTGGGATATGATAAGTTTTTACTTTAGAAGATAAGCTCCAAGACAATTTGTATTATAAAGAATGCAACTTAAAAATGTTACCTAAATTCATACTATTCAAGATTTAAGTATTTACAATGTACCGTTAGCGCTACAGAGATCAAAGAATAAAAACAAGGGCAACTACTTCTGATCTCCCATATCCCAGGAAATTTGTTATCCTGTCACACTTTATATAAGCAATTATTATGCATGACACCCAACATCCAAAATAAAAACTCCAAAATAAAAAACATATGAAACTTACACCAATAAAAAGCCATATACTCCAGTAATAAAAGGCTCCGAAAAACCAAGCTTTGTAAAACAATGTATTCAGGATTATTGCCAGTCGACTCATAATACAGTGTCCTTAAACAAATAAATTTAAAAAAAATCAGAATCATTCATATTTAATAAACAAAATAAATAAATAACAATTTATTTTAAAGTCCAATTTTCCATCTTATTTTTATTTCAGTCTTTTATATTATTATTCAAATCAAGATTTATACTTGAAATTTTCAATCATTTTTACCAAAACTTTTGGAAATTTTCGATCATTATTTTTACCAAAACTATTGGAAATTTTCAATCATTATTTTTACCAAAACTTTTGGAAATTTTCAATCATTATTTTTACCAAAACTTTTGGAAATTTTTAATCATTATTTTTACCAAAACTTTTGGAAATTTTCGATCATTATTTTTACCAAACTTTTGGAAAGTTTCAATCATTATTTTTACCAAAACTTTTGGAAATTTTCAATCATTATTTTTACCAAAACTTTTGGAAATTTTCAATCATTATTTTTACCAAAGAATGAATGAAAAGAGATAATAGTATTCTTAATATGATGCTAAGGTTATAATGAAGAAAGAGAAAAAGCATATTAACTTAATAAATAACACTTCAAATTTTCTTTCTCTTTGATAAGGAATAAGATAACAAAGGAAGTTAAGAATGTTCTTGAGTTCTATAGATTTAATTCTATTTAAACTCTATTAAAAACTCTATAATTATTTTTATATGAAATTTTTATATCATATAAGGGGGCATCCATAAATATACACAGTGAAACCACTGATTTAGGACCCCCTCCCCAATTGTACAAACCAATACGCTTTTGAAGACCCCCTCACCCTTTGTGTACGTCCACATTATTTTTTTTCCTTTGCTAATGCATAAATATTTCAAAACATTAAAAACAAAAAAAACAAAAAAACTTTAGTTTATTTGACATTTCTCTGTTCTTAAAACTTAAAATGTTACTTAATGTACTTATCTAAATCTTAAAATGTTACATTATATTTTAACATTTTAGGAGAAATGATAAAAACCAGTTTGTGTACAGTAATTTAAACAAAAGAATTTTTAAAAAGTTTACTTTTATTTGACGTCTTTTTGCATCTCATCAAAAAATAAAAAATATTATTTGGAATGATTATTGCTCAATTTCTTTTTTTCTCTTCTCATTATTTATAAGAAAAAAAACACAATACTGATTTGCAACACATGTAAAATTCTAAATAAACTTCTAAATAAATAAAAAAATCAAGTTTAGGAGAAATAGTCAAACCGCATATGTACTTACTGTCTTTAACACCCCCTTCCCCCTTGTATGCTTTAGGGAAACCCTACCTCCCTATACCTGCATACGTACTTTATGAATAGTCCCTAATATATTGAACTTAATGCTGCAATTACTCATTAGGGATCAAATTCGGAACTTCTTGCTTATGAGGCAAGTACCTCACCACTACACCACTACTGCATAACCTTTTATAAGAAAATGTCTGATGTAAAAAGTTTATCTTAAGCTTTTCAGTTTTACTTTTCAAATTTTTTACAATTACAAATTTTTTTAGTTGAGTTTCTTTACAACTAAGTTGAGTTTGTGTAAGGAAAAGGGGTATATAATATACTCCTTATATATAATTATAGAACAAAAAACGTTAATTTATAAATAGTTTGTATATTTTGTAATTTTTTAAAAATCTGTTTGTAGAATTTTATAAACTTTTTCAAGGTGTTAACGGGTGATGCAGAAGTTATCAGACAAATCTGAATTTAATTATTTGAGCATAATAATTTGTTTTTATGATTTTATGCGTAGGCATAAACCTTTTATAAATTACAAACTTTGAAACACAATTATTTAAAATAAGGTTAAATATACCTGAACAAAAATCTTTTCGAAAGCAACTCAAAATGTTTTTTGTAAATAAACTTAATATACAAAAAATCATTTTGAAAAAGAAGAATTTGCTTGGAGTACAATATATGATAACCTAATAAGACTTAAAACTGTTCAATCCTTTTCTGATAGAAAGCACCCTGGTCAAACAACAATTAACGAGACTTATCAACAATCAAAAAAGGGTCAGTCAGAGAAAAATAGTTTTTAAATTCGGTGTAAATCAATTCACAATTGGTTGCCAGTTTAAAAAAAATTAATATTAAATATAGAAAACATGAAAAGACTCCAAAATACATTATAGAACAATAATTAAAGGCAAAGAAAAGAAACAAAAAAACTAGTTAACTAACTCTATGCAAAATTGACATTAATGGCTCTTATCACACTGGATTGGCTCTAGTATCAGTGACTCTGCAGGCATTAAGACCCACAACTTTTGCCTTTCTCAATAAGCAACACAAATAGTCAACTTTCCAACTCACTTTCCAGAGATTTCAAATCATTTACCATCTCTACTCCACCTATATCTTGTTTCTGGTCCTAGTAAGTGCTCAATTTCTCTACAGACTCCCTTAGCTGCTTTTGATTATGGTTTGATTTCTCTTAAACTATTATCTCATTTTTCTTCATCATCAGAATCCCTATATTATTGTATCTCTTACAATTACCTTTAAGCTGACTGGGACTATTTCTGTGATTTTTTCTGTGAAGGCCCTTGGGTAGAAATCTTTCGTCTTTCTGACAAATGTGCTTCTTACTTAACCTCTTGGATTCAGGCTGGCATGGAATCTTTTATTCCCTCCAAGTCAAGCCTCACTCTTCTCCATGGTTTTCCACAAATTGTGCTGGTGCAATATCCAATCGAAACCATTAATTCCATATCCGGAGCTGTCGTCTATACTTTCAAAACTATTTACTAAGTGCTTAACAGTCTCGTTTTCCAGCCTGCTGGAAAATGCCATCTGTTATCCCTTTTTTCAAAAATTCTGGAGAGTGATCTGACTTGTCTAATTACCGCCCAATTAGTCTTCTTCCTATCATAAGCAAAGTTTTTGAATCTTTGATTAACTAACGCTAATCTCTCATCTTAAATCTAATAACTTACTTTCTGATCATCAATATGGATTTCGATCTTCTTGTTCTACAGCTTATTTTCTAACAATAATAACTGATAGGTTTTATCGTTCATTAGACAGAGGTGGAGAGGTTAGGCTATCTTTCTTGACATTTTTTAGGTTTTAATAAAGTTTGGCTTGCTGGTCTTCTTTATAAAAACTTTTTTCATACGGTGTATCAGATAAAATATTTAGGATTATTGACTCCTTCCTTACCAATAAAAGTTAAAAAGTTATGTTTTTATTTCTTAAAATAAATTTTTTAATATTTTTATGTTTCTACCAATTTTAATTTATTTTGTTTTCATGTTTTCTTTTAGTGGTTTGGTAAGTGTTTTATTTAGTTATTTTTATTTTTGTTTGTTCAGCAGATCTACACTTTTATACCATATCATCAAAAAATATTGGTGCTATTAATAATATATTAAAAAACACTACAACTGGTAACAAAGTTACCAATTGTAGTGTAAAAGCTGTCCTCAATGGACAGCACTCATCTTCATTTTCTGTAACTGCAGGGGCTCCTCAAGGTTCTATCCTTGGCCCTATACTCTTTTTAATTTACAATAACAGTCTTCCAGATTTTCTCACACCAAAGGTGAGATTGTTCACTGATGATACTACCATTTGTTCTTGTCTTGAAAAAAGCCAACACTCACTTGTTGCTTGGAGGGGGCATTTGAACATGAAAAGAATCTCACTTCTGGTACAGCATGGGGCTCTCAGTGGCTGGTGAACTTTATTTCTGATGAAACTCAATTTTTTCATCTAACCATTATTGCAATAATCTAGATCTTCCTATATTTATAATTGGTAATGTACTTGATGAGTCATCTACTCTTTATCTTCTAGGATTGACTCTTACCTCCAATCTTTATTGGAAGCCACATAGCAATTGATAGCAAAATTAGCATCTGCTAAGGCTGCATCTCTTTATCGTGTTTGCGACTTTGTAACTCTGGATTTTTTATCTCTATATAATTTAAATCTGTCCTTGTATGGAATACTGTTGCCATATTCGGGGCAGATATTCAAATGATGCCCTTATATAAACAATATAAACATAACATAAATTTAGTTGAACCTGCTCTTGCAGCCAAACTCCAACCATTATCACATCGTTGTAATGTTGTTTCTCTTTATTTTTTCTATAAATACTATAATGGGCACTGCTCTAAAGAGCTAGCGTGTCTTTTGCCATCTACTAGAACTCATTCTTGTGTTACTTGTTATTCAATTAAGTCTCACCCTTTTACTTTGACTGTTTTTAAGTTCTCTAAAATTCTTATTTGTTTAGTTTTTTTCCTTGAACATCAGTTTTTTGAATTACGTTTTCTTTATCCTGTTTTCCTGATTCATATAATTTGCAATATTTTAAGTTGTCTCTCAAATGTTATCTTGCACTATAAACTTTATTTTTTCTCTTCCAGTACCAGTACCTTTCAACTTTGATAATGGTTGCCTGCAGCCTTGTTGGAAGTGAATATGTTGAGAAAAAAAAAAAAAAAAGTTTTAAATTTTATTTGATGATATGAAAATTTTACATGATTTTATTATTTATTATAAAAGTTTTGCTTATCATAAGTTGAAAATTAATTTTTTAGTTTACTCAAATAGAGGCGCCATTGGTTAGTCAATTATTTTTTTTATTCTTGAAATATATTTATTATTTCTTCTCTTTATACACATTAGAACAAAAACTTATTATGAACATCACAAAAAGTTTGTACAGATGAAAGTTAACAATTCATAAATAGATAAATATCTACAACATCAAATTTTGTTTCATAGTAAAATTAAAATATATTGGTTAGATTTTTTTAAATAGTATACTTAACCCTATAAATATTTCTCATATATCATTTTACATCAATAAATAATTTAAATGTTTGAAAAGCATGCGAGCAAATAATTGTCAAATTAAAATTTATTTAATTAGATTTTTATTAATGTTTTTAACTAGAAGGATTATATATTTAATAAAACTTTTTTTTTTATATATCCATAGTTTTACCATTATTATCTTCATTATTATTATCTTAAGTTGAAAAGATTAAATTTTAGGATTATCTAAAAATTTGTTATATCTGATTTTTTTTTTATTAAAACAAGTTTTTATCTTTTTTTATTTTAATTTGTCATGTTAAAGTGTATATTTTGCTTTTAAGCATCGTAAATAGATATATCAATATTTATATATAAGTGTCATTACAACCTTGAAAGCATAGCTAATTTATATTTACATTTATATATACATGTAATAATTGCTGAAATCTTATTATATAATGTATTTATGAGAAGAGAACTGGGTTATGCAATAAAACTTGATTGATGGTTTGTGGATTCATATATTTTTGTCAATGAGAGGGTATTTCCTCATTTACTTTTTTCTATTTTTTATACAATGTTTATTTTGAAAATATGGATAAATAATGTTTATCTCTTTGATTAAAGTGTTTTTAAACAGATAAATAGATTTGTTCAATTCTCCTTTTATATTATATTTTATATTTCTTTTATATCATAGTTGTTGTTTTTTTATTTTAGATTTATCTTACAATGCTTTTTTAGCATATCATAGAATGCATAAAAAGCCCACAACCCATAGGGTGTAGGGTCAAAATAAGGATAAAGATTGTCCCTCTTTTCATTGGAGGAGTGGCTCCTCTATATAGTGTAATAAAAGTGGTTGCAAAACATTTAACTACATCTACAATTAATATTTTTGAAGTTTGTTTATATATTTATTGTAGTTGTTAAATTTTTTCAAACATCTTTTTATATTTTGTTTTGTTATTTTGTATATACATTGTAATTGTAAATAATATAAGTTTGTTTTTGTTTCAAAATTATTTTTTAAATAAGAATTTTTGTAATGTTTTGTTTGTAAATATGTTTTGTTAAAAGATATGCTCTTTTTTAACAATTGATGTTTCTCTAATTGTAAATAAAAACATTTACTTATATAAACTAATACATTTACTTATGTAAGTAAATAAATATATATACTTATATAAGTATTTACTTATATAAGTAAATACATATATAGTTATTATTATATATAAGTATATAAATATATATACTTATATAAGTAAATAAAAATATTTACTTATTCAAGTAAATAAATATACTTACTTATATAAGTAAATAAATATATTTACTTATATAAATAAATATGTTTATTTACTTATATAAGTAAATAAACATACTTACTTACATAAGTAAATAAATATATTTACTCATTTAAGTAAATAAATATATTTACTTATATAAGTAAATAAATATATTTACTTATATAAGTAAAAAAATATATTTACTTATATAAGTAAATAAACATATTTATTTATATAAGTAAATAAATATATTTACTTATATAAGTAAATATATACTTTTGTTTTGCATTTTATTATTTTGGCGAAAAAATTTTTTTCTTAATTTAAAATTTTGATTACTAATGAGTAAAATAACTATTTTGTTAGAATACCTATGTTAGAAATACTTATTTTATTAATGTCTTAAAGTAATCAATTGGGTAAAGTTGTGCATCTAACGCAACAAAGATTTTCATTCGTAAAATAGGTAAATGTTGCATTCAAATTTTTTTAAAAATAAATAGACAGGGTAAGGGTTTTAATAACCTTTAAGTATGCGGAGTATGCTTTAAGTATAGAAAAGTTGTTAAAGATTTTTAAATGAACTATTTTTCTACTGTTTACTAAAAGGTATTAAAGAAAAGAGACCATTTTAAAAACAAGTTTAGAAATGATCTTTGTGGAACAGACTCAACATGACCCATATCACATGGATCTGGACAGTTTAGTATTAAGTAATAAAAGAACATGGGTGTGAACAGCTAGTATTAACTAATAAAAGAACACAGGTGTGGACAGCTAGTATTAAGTAACAAAAGAACACGGGTGCAGACAGCTAGTATTAAATAATAAAAGAAATTTTAAAAATACATGCACACACAAACAAAAATTACTGGAAAAATATCTGTTTTATTTTAAAATCATTTAATCATTTAAATTCACTAGCTAGGTAAATTTTATAGTTTAATTAATATATATTACATTTTTATTTACTAAATATTGGCTTAAATATTTAACAAAAAAATATTAAATATTAAAATAGTAAATATTAAAAAAAAACATAAATATTAAAAAAAAACAAAATATTAAGTTGATAATTTGAAGAATGTTTGTGTAATATAACATTGGAAAAAAATATGTCAAAAATATGACATAAATTGTAATAAAAATTTAATTGAACCTTCAGGAGCATTTGTGGTGCATAAATATGTTTGAGGTTTAATATCTGTTTCATTATGACGGGAGCTGTTTGTGCTGTTTTGACTGTATAGTGAATACTTTTGGTTGCCAAACTGCATATATTGAGGAATTGCTGTTAATAATAAAATATTCAAGGAGACAATCATCAGCATTAGAATAAAGACCATGAATATTAAAGCCTGAGGCATTGTTCGACCAGGACGTATTTTAAACATCTTTAAAAAAAAAATTAAAAATATATTAAAAATAATAAATATATATTTAATTTTAAATATATAATTAAATATATAATTAAAATAACTTTGTAATTAATACAAATAAAACAACAAATAGCTTTTATTTTATTTATTTAATAGTATATAAAAATATAATATTATTATATATATAATTAAGTATATTATATATAATAGTATACTTTATTAATTATATTTATAATACTTTTATATTAAAAATATGATTTTTGTTATTAAAATTACCTTAATGCAACAGCACCATATACCAATTTTCTTAATTCCATTCATACAACCAAAGACAAAAAAGAGAATTACACCCGTAAACAATAAATAATCAAGAGGAAAGACCTTTTAAAGAAAAACAATAACAATTTTTAAAAACTGATATACTGACGCAATATAGTACCTTACCTTTTAAATAAACAGTGCACAAAAAGCAATTTAAATCAATTACATTTTACATCAAGTGCACTTGATGCAAAATAAACAAATCTTGTTTAAAAAATGTTATTTTAAAAAAAAAGAGAAGATATTTGCTAAATAATATCATTAACACAGATCACCACTTACATGACTCATTTATAGAAAACACTCTTAAATAAACAGGAGCTTTAAAACTTTACACTGTAAGCAATTTACGTTCTATTTATTTAGAATTCTTAAATTTTTTAAAAAAGTGTTTGGTGCAAAAGCTTTAAATATTATTATTTTTATGCATTGATTTTTATCTTTTTATCTATTTCACTTTTATCATCAAGTGAAATTATTACTTAAGTTTCCCCCTTTTATGCTGTTTTTCTAATACAAGCAATATTGAACATTTTCTTTCCCTAACTGAAGCTTCTTCATATCATATTGCGACGTCAGAATAACTAGGTTCTCACCCACAATTTTGAAAAAAATAAGATTTTTGTATCAAAATTCTTGAAATAACCAGTATTGATTTGGTATTTGTGTGGACATATTTAAAAAATTTTCAGAGCATCAAAGTTCGATCTTTAAATAAAAAAAAAAATCACAATAGCAAGGTTTCAACAACTGTTGGAACTTTATAAACTCAAGATTACAAAACCTTATTTTTTTATAGGACAACAACATTCTATTCTGCATTTGTAGGCATTACTATTGACATACTATAAATTTTTGTGTTGCAGTAAGCTGTCAAACTCTTGTCTGACTTTCAAGTAGTTTATTTGTGTGTTTTATCACTAATCACATATTGCAAAACTTTTTTCTTAAATCAATTTTGCTGAAATGAATAGATTCAGTAAAAGAACAATGATGTTGGTGGAAATGTCATTGAAAAATTGTCAGAGAACACAGGTATGTTCACATTTTCTTATATGTTTATGCTTTAACCAAATAACTTAGGTGGAAAGAGAGTTAACTAAAATTATGCAATTTTTGAGATATTGTAGTAATATACTTTTCAATGAAATACTGCATAACAGTCAGAACTTATAGTTATCCAATCACATTTAACTTTAAAAAAAAACTATTCAGTGATATTTTTTCAAAAGTAAACAAAGGCAAACTAAAAGAAAAAAGTTCAGTAAATTTTATAGCAATTTAGAGTTATTATAATTTTTTTTTTAAGCGACTATTATTAAATGTCTATACCTTTTTGCTTGAATGAATGAAAAGTTTATAAACTTCTTGCTTTGTTTGAATTATAGTTGGAATAATGTACATTTTATGATTATGTTTTTCAGATTATACTGACACCACTGGTGATATTGTATATTTGAGAACAACTTGTGTGGTGAATTATTCAATGATAGAGGTATACACGCATCATATTATATAATGCTCAACTTAATGCTCATTCATGCGTGTTTGTACAGAATTCACGGCAGCCATTACACCCAAGTTAATTGCGAGAAAATGCATACAAAAGTGTTTGCAAATACCTAACTTATGTAAACTTCAAATTATGTTAAAAATGTTTAAAGTTTTACTTTTACTTGAAAATAGCATTATTATCTCCTTAATTTTAATTTTTAGCATTTATTTGTCATTTTATAAAGTTTTTATAAATTTAATATAAATTTTATAAAATTATAATTCTTTTGTTTATTAAATACTATTAAAATAATTGAGTTGCAATCACTTTGGTCTCACTGGCTAGCTTACTGCGCTTCTAAAGTGGATTTCAGGGGCTCAAATTCTTTAGCTTGCACCAGAGTTGTTAACAAGGCCAAAAGTAGCAAGACCAAGGCCAAGGACAAGGCCAACATTACAAGGCCAAAGCAAAGACCAAGGCCAAGAATTTTAAGATCAAGACCAAGATTAAGAGTTTCAAGGCCAAGGTCTATGCAAACATTTTCAAGACAAAAGACTTCAATTTTTGCCTTACAAAATTAACAAAATTGTAAGTAGCAAGTGCTGTGACAATATTTTGTAAACCCTATTTTGTAAAAATAGACCAAGGCTATGTGTGGAATTCAACTAAGTCAATAAAAAAATGTGTAATTTTGTTCAAGGCCAAGGCCAACAGTTTCAAGACCAAGACCAAGGCCAAGGCCTCAATGTTTGGCCTTAAGGCAAGACCAAGGCTAAGACCAATGCCAAGACCAATGCCAAGACCAAGGCCAAAACCAAGGCCAAGACCAAGGCCAAGACCAAGGCCAAGACCAAGACCAAGGCCAAGACCAAGACCAAGGCCAAGGCCAAGACCAAGGCCAAGACCAAGACCAAGGCCAAGACCAAGGCCAAGGACTAACAACTCTGGCTTGCACATTAATATATATATTTTTCAATCTTTATCAATTTTCTAAAATACAAAATAAAGAAAATTTTGTAGTGCATGCCATAATAGAGATACTTATATTATTAATTAACTAAGGTAATTAGTTAATTAGGAATTAGTTAATGTAAAAGGGGGTGGGGGTATTAGGTAATTAGTTAAGTCTTTCCAATAGTAACAACTTTCGATACCATGATACAGCGACCAAGTCTTCCCAGGAAAGGCGTGCGGTTTTTTTTTCCATATGATCACATGCAATTACACTATTTTAGAAAACGTGAACACGGCCGTTTGCAAGTTTTATAATAATGCTGAAAAAGTTTCAAAAACAAAAAAAACATAACTAACAAAATAAAAAGAGATTGAAATAGAAAAAAATAAAAACAAATTAATAATTTAAATAATTTGTGTACTCTTTTTATTTTTGTTTTTTTAGAGTTACATTCAGCAACAAAAATTAGATAAGGCAAAGCAAAAAAAAAACAGTTTGAAGTCTACAATAAAAAGAATGATTTTACCTTTTCTTAATTTGTTTTAAGAGGATAGTAAAAAATACAAATTGCAATGTGTTTGTAAAATTTATTTATATAATTTTAATGAAAAAACAAGGGTTGAATTAAGCGAATGCAAAACGCAAAACCTGGAAAAATATCTAGCATTCATAATTTTAGTTTATAAAAAACCGTGTTCCTTGTTTTTAAGGGGAGAATCAGCTTAAATTTGTTAGCAAAAAAATAAAAAATAAAACAATAAACTTACGATTACAAAAGTAATAACATTCTAGTCACAAACTGCATTACAAAAGTAATAACACTATAATCAAGGCCGACGCAATAGAGGGGTGTGAGGGGGAGGGGACACCCCCAATCAATGATTTTTAGTCGGCAAATTGGACCCTTTAGACTAGTTAGTCGGCAAATGTCGACCCTTTCGATACAGACTAGTCGGTAATCTAGACAGTCGGCAAATGTCGGCAAGGCAGTAGGCAAATTTTTGAAAACGAGGACCTTTTTTTTTTTTTTAGTCGGCAAAAGTTGTAATGGCACCCCCCTTCCCCACATGACACCTACTCTCGCCGGCCTTGACTATAATAGTGTTATTATTTTTATAACGCACTTATAACTATTAAAATTCATTCTTTGTTCAAGCAACATTAGTATTCCCAAATTTTAATTGAAGTAGAAAAATATCTAAAAGAATAAAGTAGATGTTCAAATAATATTAAAACTAAAGTAACTTATAAAAATGTGACAAATAACTTAATGAAAACGTGTTGTATTAAAAGTTTAGCATTATGAAAAACGTTAATAATGGACCGTAAAAACGCGCATTAATTTTCAAATTAACCAATAAAAATTTTTTATTAGTTGATTTTAAAACTAACGCGCGTTTTTACGTAACGTTTTTCATAATGCTATACTTTTTATAAAGGACTTTTTTATAACGATGTTTAAGTAATATGAGAAAGTTCCTGAAATTTTTAATAATATTTGAATATCTGCTTTATTTTTTCTAGATGCTTTTCTACTTTAATAAATGTTTGGAATTAATAATGTTGTTTGAACAAAGAATGAACTTTAAAAGTTATAAGTGCTTTATAAATGTAATAACACTATTATAGTTTTATTACTTTTATAATGCAGTTTGTGACTAAAGTCTTATTACTTTTGTAGTCGTAAGTTTATTGTTTTTGTTTTGTTTTTTTTAACAAACTTTTAATAACTTGCTCCTTATAAACAAAGTACACAGCTTTGCATAAACTAAAATTTTAAAGACCTAATATTTTACCAGAGATTGCAAATCGTGATCGTATAATTTAACTCTTGATATATACTTGTTACATTATAATTATACAAACGTATTTTACAAACAGATGACGATACATATTTTCTCTTTCCTCTTTAAAAGAAAAAACACATAAAATATGGGAAAGTCATCCTTTTTAACGCCTAAAACAGTTTTTTTTTTTTTGCTTTGACTTAATGAATATTTTGTCGATAATAAAAACCACTAAGAAAAAACAAAAATAAAAACAACACACAAATTATTTAAACTATTATTATTGTTTTCTATTTAAGTTCACTTTAATTTCTTAAGTAGTTATTAAATTTAAAACAATTTTTCAGCAATGCATATAATAAAACTAGCGCAAACGGCCGTGATCACGTTCTCTAACTTGAAAAACGTTTTCGTGGTCGTATGAAACGAAAAACCGCACGCCTTTCCTGGGAAGGCTTGTATCATGGTCACTGCTCAAAGGAGCTATTACCTTTAGTTGTATCAACTAAAGCTCATTTTCGCTGGACTCATCATTCATCAAAGTCTCATTCTTTTCCTACATACTGCAAAAACTTTTATTCGTTTTGTTTTTTTCCCTGCACTTCAACCTTTTGGAACTCTCTCATATCTTCATGTTTTTCTGAATCATACAACCTTCAACTTTTTAAGTCTGTCAACTGTTTCCTTGCTCTATAACTCTTTTTTTTTTCTTTCTAGTAACTCCCAACTTAATAGTGGTTGCTTGCAGCCATTTGGGAGTGAATCAGAATAAAAAAAGAATACAATCATTATTAACATTTTATATTAATTTCAAATAGAAACTGACAATGGTAGAAAATTGCCATGGTAGAAAATTTGCCAAATTTCTACCATGACATGACAAATTTTCTACCATGACAGCTTTCAAAGAGAATTTTCTGAGACAACTATTCAAACGTTGAAAAAGATATTTTAAGGTGAGATTTAGGTGAAGTTGTTGAACTTAGATTTAAAAATTGTTTCAAAATTAGAAGTATTTAATAATAATATATCTAAACCATTTTTACTTTCAGTGGTGCAATTACAAAATAATAAAATACGAGAAAATGATTTTGTTCTTTTTTAGTCTAAAAATGACCAATCAGAAAAGAGTAATCTTAGTTGAAAGAAACAAGTACCCAAAAAAAAAAATCAAAAATTGCAAAAATTGTTCAATTAAATGTTTTTACAATTGCTCAATAAACATTTCTGAAGAACATGATGTATTATTACAGCATATTTTTTATTATCTCTGAATGAAATATATGTTTATTAATCAACTTAGTGAAAGTTTGTTGCTAAAAAATAATTGAATTCCACCAAAAGAATTTTTTCTCCATTTTTTAATGTAACGGGTGGCAAAGTATGAGTGTGCAAGACATTTTATTTAGACACTCTTGGCATTTCACAAAAATCTATAATGTGCATCCTAATATGAATAAAGATACAAATACCCACACAATAAAAGGAAAAGGAAACAATACTATTTCAGAAGAGCAAAAAGACATGGTAATGTTGCATATCAACTCATTTCATTTAGTCAGTTCACATTATTGCTGTACTAAATGTTTAAACAGTATTTAGAATTCAATTTGAATATCCAGAAAATGTTTGAGCTATATAAAGAATACAAATGTGCTGGAAAACAACCTTTAAAACATTGCTTAATTTATAAATACTAAACAACTGTAATAACCCGTATTAGGCTTTGCTTACTAGCAGCAAGCAACAATTTTAAACTTTTAAGTTTTTAAAATTTAAGTTTAAAACTTAAAAGTTTAAAAATTTCTTTCAAAATAAAATTTTTCTTGTTAAGTATAAAAATACAATTTTTCTTACTTGTTGAGTATAAACCATGACAATATTAACAGGATTTGGAAAAGTAGGTTTAGGCAAAGCATAACCTGATTTCAATCCCAGTGAATGTAAAGCTTTATCAATGCTAAAAAGTTTAATAAAAAATATTTGAATAATTAAACAAATTTTGCTTTAAAACAGAAAAAAACTATTTAAAATAAAAAAAACCTGGTAATGGTAAGAGAAATCATAATAAGTAATGAAATGAAAAGGAAAAAAACTCCAAATAACACTTGAAATGGCTTTAATAGTTGTAATAATTTATGGAAAATGCCCTTTTTCATTTTTTTTTTTTTCCGATCAATCCTGTTTTGTAACAATTCATCTTGTTCAATTCTTCGCATCTCATTTCGTTCAAAGCGGGTGAGACTAACTTTAGCCTTAATCTTTGCCCTTAGCATATTTGCTTTTTCTTTATCTTTTTCTTTTCTTGATAACTTCTGTCTACTTTCAGGTTCCTTAAAAATAAACCATAACCAAACTCAAAAATCATAGAAACAAATTTATGTCATACATATTTCATTGTTTAATTTCATTTACTTCTCTGTATATTTTACCACATCGAATCATTCCAAGCGGTAATGCAGACATCCCAAAAGCCTGAAAAAAGTAAAATTTAAAATATTTGCAAATACCTCAAACTAAACTGCATTGTTTAAACAATGGCTTTGAAATGCCATGTAAAAGAAAAATACCTACCACATACTGAATTAGCATCAACATTCCAAACATAGAAATTACACCAACAAGGATGGACATGGTCTGTTTTATATCTTAACATTAAAAAAATCTAGATATTATAAAATATGCTTGATTAAACTAAGATATTATTCATAGAATTAATTAACATACTTTTATAATTTTCTAACTCATGTTTAAGAAAATTAAATTTTTCATCGAAAGCAGTCATATTTGAAGGCAATGGTTTCAATGGAACAAAGGCACTACAAAAATAAATTTAAAATTTATATGGAAAAAATACATATAAATATTACAAATGTAAAATATTTATAAAAATATTTATAGCAAATTCACCCTGTTATTAGTATGACAAAAGCTGCCAGCAAAAATACCATAGAATACTTTAATGCTGTACAACATCTCTAAAAAAAATTATAACAATGTTAAAAAGAACACTGTCTGTCTTAGCAATCATATATATAAATTAAATCAAATAAATTATACAATTTAAAAAAAAAAAAAAATTTAAATAAAATCTTTGATTAAAAACATGGAAAAGGGCCTTCTAGTTTAAATTAGCCCTGGTCCTTGTCTTAATCCACCACTGGGTTTTATATATATGTGGCAAAATTGTCACCATGTTTGAACAAAGAAATATTTTAGCACTTGTTTTTCAAAGCTTGCCAATCGAATGCAATTTTTTCGCAAAAACAGGTTAATTTCCCTTGAACTTTTCATAATTTCCCTAAAAATAACCGATCATTGATTGGCTGTTATTTCGAGTGCTGATATTTTTAATTTTTTTTAAATAGAAAAGCTGTGAAGAAAAATGAAATTTTAGTTTTATTAATTAAATTTAAGACTTAACTAACTGAAAATATTGCTTTTTATTAAATTTAGAGGATATTGAATTTTTTTTTAATTTTAATGTGAAAAGCTTATGGTGACAATTTTGTCGCAAATGAAAACAAATAACATATTGTAGTAAATTAATATCGAGTATATCCTCCCTTAGATTTAATTACAGCCTGAATTCTTTCACACACAAGCAACCAATTTGCGGCATTCCTCGGGTGTAATTGAGTACTAAACCTCTTGTACACGCGCTTAAAGTTCATCCTTTTTCTTAGGTGGAGTAGGAATGTTGTAGACCCGTTGTTGAAACACAGTGTTAAATGAGAAAAAATTTTGCTAAGTGATTTTCTACTAATTTGTAGTTGCTCTGTTCTTTTAAGAACATTGAGAATTCTTTTTGTAGAATACATTTTAAATTCTTTAAATATATATATATATATATATATATATATATATATATATATATATATATATATATATATATATATATATGTATTCTACAAATACAGTGGTCAATGTTCTTAAAGAACAGAGCAATAATAAATCAGTAAAAACACTTATCTAATTTTTAGTTGTTTTCAGCAGCATGTTGCTCCATCAGTAGGTTCATCAGGAAGCATGTCTAATGACAATCATCAGCCATCATAATCATCATGGCTGATGATTGCCATTAGATATTCTTCCTGATGAACCTACTGATGGAGCAACATGCTGCTGAAAACAACTAAAAATTAGATAAGTGTTTTTACTTATATATATATATATATATATATATATATATATATATATATATATATATATATTATATATATATATATATATATATATATATATATATATATATATATATTTACCTGATATACCCATTTTACCTGATATACCCATTTTACCTGATATACCCATTTTACCTGATATACCCGTCTTACAGGTTTTACCTGCTATACCCGTCAAACAGGTTGATCCATTGCTCGACATTCATATCACTCCAGCTTCTGTATCTAAAGTGATTTCCCGCTTAGACTCTTCTACAGCTTGCGGCCCGGACAACATACCTGTTATAGTCTCGAGAAGTGTTCTCCTGAGCTGTCGTCTATCTTTTCAAAACTATTCAACAAGTGCTTATCAGAGTCTTGTTTTCCAGCCTGCTGGAAAGCAGCATCTGTTATCCCTATTTTTAAAAATTCTGGAGAGCGATCTGACTCATCTAACTACCGTCCCATTAGTCTTCTTCCTATCATAAGCAAGGTTTTTGAATCTTTAATTAACAAACACTTAATCTCTCATCTCAAATCTCATAACCTACTTTCTGATCATCAGTATGGATTTCGATCTTCTCGTTCTACGGATGATTTGATATCAGTAATAATCGATAGGTTTTATCGCGTATTAGATAAAGGTGAAGAGGTTAAGGCCATTGCTCTTGACATTTCTAAAGCGTTTGATAAAGTTTGGCATGCTGGTCTCCTCCATAAGCTTTTTTCTTATGGTGTATCTGGAAACATCTTTAAGATTATTGAATCTTTCCTTTCCAATCGTAGTATAAAAGTTGTCCTTGATGGACAGCACTCTTCTTCTTATTCTGTAACCTCAGGGGTTCCCCAAGGTTCAATCCTTGGCCCTATACTCTTTTTAATTTACATTAACGATCTTCCAGATATTCTCACATCTAAGGTGGCATTGTTCGCTGATGATACTACTATTTATTCTTGTCACGATAAGAAGCCAACTCCCTCTGATTGCTTGCAGGGGGCATCTGAGCTCGAAAAGGATCTAACTTCTGCTACAGCATGGGGCTCGCAGTGGCTGGTGAACTTTAATTCAGATAAAAAATTGTTTTGGCCAATCGTTATCGCAATAATTTAGACCTTCCTATATTTATGAACGGTAATGTACTCGATGAGTCTCCTACCCTTCATCTTCTAGGATTAACTCTTACTTCTGATCTTTCTTGGAAACCTTATATCAAATCCGTTGCAAAATTAGCATCTGCTAAAGTTGCTTCTCTTTATCGAGCTCGTCACTTTCTTACTCTGGATTCTATTCTCTATCTCTATAAATCTCAAATCCGGCCTTGTATGGAATACTGTTGCCATATCTGGGGCGGATCTTCTAATGATGCCCTTTCTCTTTTAGACAAGGTGCAAAAGCGCATTGTGAACATAGTTGGACCTGCTCTTGCAGCCAACCTTCAACCTCTGTCACATCGTCGACATGTTGCTTCTCTTTTTCTTTTCTACAAATACTATAATGGGCACTGCTCGAAAGAGCTAGCGTCTCTTGTGCCATATACTAAAATTCATTCTCGTGTTACTCGTCATTCAATAAAGTCTCATTCTTTTTCTGTTACTGTTCCTAAGTACTCCAAAAACTCCTATTCGTGTAGTTTTTTTCCTCGAACATCATTTCTTAGGAATTCGCTTCCTTCATCTTGCTTTCCTGATTCATATAATTTGCAATCTTTTAAGTCGTCTGTCAATCGTTATCTTGCTCTACAATCTTCATCTTTTCTCTTCCAGTAACTTCCAACACTAATTAGTGGTTGCTTGCAACCTTGTTGGAAGCGAAGATAATTAAAAAATATATATATATATATATATATATATATATATATATATATATATATATTCATAAAATCTTTAAAAAAATTTAATGTATGCAGTATTTTTCAAATTTACCATTTTTTTTTATTTATTACATAAAAATATAACAGTTTTTTTAAAAAAAAAAAAGTTCAAAAATACCTCTTTGTTTGTAACGCTATCATCTTTTTCCTCATAGAAAAAGTACATAAAAGGCAATATTACAAACACAAACAAAGCAACCAACCCATACAAGCCTAAAATGAAATGCACGTTCAAAATATTTTTAAAATTAATAAGACAATTAAGAAACAACTTTAATAATACTTTTTAAACACTGCAACCTGACTCATTTTCAACCTAAACTATTTTCTTTCTCTTTAACATTACTCTTTGTTCTCTGGTAACTCCTACCTTAAATAGTGGTTACTTGCAGCCTTGTTTAGAGTAAATTAGTCTTTAAAAAAAAATACTTTTTAAATACTTGGTACCAACTTGAAGTTAAAATAGGGTTTTGGAAATTTGCAACTTTTAAAACCTCAAATGGATTTAGAGCATTTATTAAAGAACAGTTAAAAAATTAAAATATTAATTTAACAACCAATGTGGACAAAATCTGGTTTTTAAAAGTCTTTTTTTCAAAACTAAAGCAACTTTCTAGGAGAACCACTAGAAAAATAGAAAACATTTTAAAAAAGAAAACCTGTTTTTTAAGATTTTTTATTTTTTTTGCAAACTTAAATTAAAATTAAAATATCAACTTCATAAACAAACAAAAAAATTATAATAAATTGCATACAAAAAACCTGTATTAGTAAGGTACAAAAACCTGTATTAGTAAGGTACAAAAACCTGTATTAGTAAGGTACAGAAACCTGTATTAGTAAGGTTCAAAAACCTGTATTAGTAAGGTACAAAAACCTGTATTAGTAAGGTACAAAAACCTGTATTAGTAAGGTACAAAAACCTGCATTAGTAAGGTACAAAAACCTGTATTAGTAAGGTACAAAAACCTGTATTAGTAAGGTACAAAAACCTGTATTAGTAAGGTACAAAAAACCTGTATTAGTAAGGTACAAAAAACCTGTATTAGTAAGGTGCTTTTAAGGCTAAATTTTATGGTGAATTCAAAGCTGAAATAAAGTTTTGCCTGCAATTTTGGCATTAAAATTGTCTTTTCTATAAAATGGCTGCAAAAAATTTATGAAATTTTTTTTTTTGGAAATATATACATTCAATGTACCGATTCATACCTATTTATGGGTGCTAGATTCAAATATTACAACCAACCACTCTATGAAGGTTGGTTGTGACACAAATATATCAGTTGATTTATTATTAAAATATAATTAATTATGTTATTGTATGATAAAATCATTCACATTTGAACATGACATAGTGGAATAATAAACAAAGCTTTTTAATACAAAATAATATACAACAAGATTTAAAAAATAACTTGTTTTATTTTTATTTAAACACTTCATCTGAGTCACAATTTAAACATATAAAGTTCAGCATGCCTTGTGTGCATTGTTCATGTGCCCACTTCTTGCATTCTAGACACTTCTAGACCATTTTTCTTTTGGTCTGCTATTAGCAAAGGACTCACAGCAGAACAAGCAAAAATTGTCCTCATCTTCTGACGAAGTTTCAATATTTTTTGCAGCTTTGCCTTTTCTTTTTGCAGGATTCATTTTTGATTTGCCTTTACGGCCACCTAAATCAATTGATTTCTTTTTAATCTTAGTTTTCTCGCTTGCTAGTAATGCTTTTACAGGGGAGTCGGTCGTTATTAATAATGAATGCTTTTTACTGTATCTGGTAAAGTTTATTCTTGGCCCTGCTTTTGGAAATGGCTTTATTCTATCTGGAGTGACATACTTAGGCCTACTGATATCAGTGTCTACATCAAGTTTTTAGGCCTAAATTCTGTTGTAAATATGTCTCCATCAAGTTGTAGGCCTAAATTCTGCTTATTTTCCTTTTCTAAAACATCTACTGTGTGTTCATCAAGTACCTCAGAACCCTGAACTTGCTCTTTAGATGAGCCTGGTTGAGCATAAGAATTAGTGGATGGACCTACATTAGGCATATCAACAGTTTAAAAGGTTGTTTTAGAGTTTTCAACAAGAGAGTATGTTTTCAAAATATTCATACAATCAGTTACAAAACTGGGAGCAAACTCATCATCAGAAAAAATGTCTAAATTCAAAGGAAATAACCCTGTTGAAGCAAAACCACTAAAAATATTTTGGTGAGTAGCAGCCATGGGAAACACAACCTTCACAATTGTTGGAATATAATATATGGTCAATGTTTTTCCAATTGTTGGAATTTAATATATGGTCAATGTTTTTCCAATTGTTGGAATTTAATATATGGTCAATGTTTTTCCAATTGTTGGAATTTAATATATGGTCAATGTTTTTCCAGGATGCATAAACAACCAAGAGTCAACTGCAGTGTTAATGTGCATTTTAAGTGGGCCATATACTATTTTGTCCAATAGTTGTAGTTTATGTGTGCAATGTGATGGAAATGTCATCATTTGATTTATTAGGATGGTGTCACTCATACAGAAATCTGATCAAAGGAGTGACACCAATTTTTAATATAATATAAGTAATAATAAGCAAAGACACACACTGAAACACATGGACCGTAAACACACAAACCAAAGCACATAAAATATACATCAAAACAAACATGTAAAAATCAATTTGCAGGTTTTACTAATAAAAATAAATTAAAAAAAAGTGCTGATGATTATTGTAATAATTACGAAATGAAAACTAAAACAATATTTAAATCATAAGGATAATAATGCCAAAAAAGTTAGAATAAAATGTTTTTTAGAATTTTTTAAAATTGATATTGTTTAAGATGGAGTAAAGGTATTTTAGGATATATTTTTTTAGACTCATTCAAAATGCATGCAAGGCTCCTGTTCCATTCACAGACGCACTGATAAACAATAGAACGTTTACCATACTTTTGGGTTTTAAAAGATGGTACATTTATTTTTCCATTGTGTATATTTCATTAAATGCCAATTAGTAGATAAATGCACTGTTTCATTAAATGCCTGTTAGTAGATAACAGGGTTTCTCTTTACTGGACTTTGTGTTCATTACAAAGTGTTTTAGATATTTCATAAATTTTTTTGTAATGGTCTGATCAACTTGAAATCAAGTGAGCACTTGTTTAATGAACATTGCCAATGTTCATTAAACAAGTGATTTAAAAGTTTCACATTTTTTATAGTTTTTTTTTTTTTTTTATATAAACGTTGTGACAACTAACCCCTGTGACAACCAACCCCACATCTTATATAGTTTAAATACATATTGAAATTACTAAATTATTGATTTTCTTTGCTTAAATATATATATTTTTTCAATTATGCACAACACTACTTAGCACCTTTGATAACTAAACTGATAACCATGACAATTAAACTGATAACCATTTAAAACTAATAATTCAAAATTTTTAAATTTTTCTAGAAATTTAGTACAGTATAGGGCTTTTTTTTCATAAAGGTCTACTCACAATATATATTTTTTTGACAAAATATAACAAACAATGTAAGACTAAATTAATACATGATATGCAAATGCTCAAAGAAATTAAAAATGTGAATAGATCGCTTATTTCTTAGCGTATTTGAAGTCTGATATTAAACTGGTATGGTTTTATATACGGGTCTTCTATATTAACATTATCAAAACTAAAATGATTTTTGTAGGCTACGTTTACATTTTATGCTAAGTGAAAATATACATAAACATATATATATATATATATATATATATATATATATATATATATATATATATATATATATATATATATATATATATATATATATATTAGTAAATATTTTTTGTATATACTACTGTGGATAAAATTCATGGTGGTATGAGGAAATTGTTTTTGCTTAATTTAATAAAAAAAAAATTTTTTTTTTAATAATTTATTTAATTAAAAATTAGCACATCTTTAAATTAAAATTTTAAAATTTATTTGATCACAAATCATCAATCAAAAATAGTGAGTTTTTAATAAAACTTTGAATTTGCAAATGAATTTTGATTTAGTAAAACTATTGATGAAAAAATGATTTGATGATAAAAAAATGATTAGGTGATGAAAAAAGAATTTGGTGAAAAAGTTCTGGTTTCTCAAAACAGGGATTGTTATAGAATTGGGCTAGCTTTAATTATCTTAACTTTTAGTAAGTCATTCTCATTTATCAACAACATACTTCAAATTTGAAATCACTTTATGCCTAAAAACTAGTTATTTTAAATGACAAAATTTCCAAAACAAGGAAATGTTTTATGGGGAAAATCAAAATATTTCTGGTGATATGCCGCAAATTTTTAGAGACCTGTATAAATATAAACCATATTTGTCTATGTAACAGATATCAGGGGATATAACTGGCTAAAGAGGAATACTACAAAGAGCTCCAAAAAATTTTAAATGTTTTATACTTATCAAAAGATCTGGAATAATCTAAGTATTATTTAAGAACTTTTAGAATAAAAAGTTTTCAATATCACAATAACTTAAAATATTAGGTAGCGAGAGGTTCTGAGTTCGATCCCCACCATGTCCCTGGTAGTACCGCGCCCAACTTGTTTCTCCGCACAGCGGCCTTGTTCGTCCAGGTTCGTGTTTCGGAGTTATAGAGTTGAGAGAGGGTTTTAACCATTGAGGAGGTAAATAACAAAAAAAAAAAAAAAAAAAAAAAACACTTGAAAACCCTTCAAAACTGTATATGATATTTGTTGGCATAACTACAGATATATCAAAATGGCCTAAATATGTATCAAATAAAAATGTTATTAACTTTACCATAATAACAATATGAGATAGTATCTTCAATAGAGTTCTGAGTGGAATTGTCTGCAGCCCATTCCTTATGAAGAATTAAAATTTCTAGTTAAAAACAATTTAAAAACTATCCAATACATTCATCATCATCATCATCATCATCATCATCATCATCATCATCATCATCATCATCATCATCATCATCATCATCATCATCATCATCATCATCATCATCATCATCATCATCATCATCATCATCATCATCATCATCATCATCATCATCATCATCATCATCATCATCATCATCATCATCATCATCATCATCATCATCATCATCATCATTATTAGTTTAATTTTTCTAAATAATATTTTTAAAACTATATATTTAAAAAGCCAACCTTAAAAGATCCATCAGCATTTTTCATATAAGAAATCAGAAAAACATCGACTGGTACTAAAGCTGATGTCATCAAAGTAACAACTAATCCTGAGACAGAAGTCAATGTGGATGAAAATTCTGAAATTTGTGAATGTTGAAACCAACGTATATACATTGTTGCAAAAAAAAAAGTAAGCTGGAAAAAAGAAACCAATCTATTATTAAATCATACGCATACATACATACAAATATATATATATATATATATATATATGTATATATATATATATATATATATATATATATATATATATATATATATATATATATATATATATGAATAATTTTACATGTATTCTATGTATTCTACAAAATAAAGTAACAATTTTACATTTATTAATTTAATTATATGTATTAATTTAGTCTAATTAAAAATACTGAATTTAATAGTGTTAGTAGTAGTAGTAGTGCCCTTTTGAGCCTTTTAGAAACAGAACTCTTGGCAGCCATTGCAACCGAGGTAATGTGTGAAAGAGTTGCAGCAGCTTTGTTTTATAAGAAAACGTGAACAAAAGTGTATCTTTAAACAAAGGTGTACGGCACCACGCGGCAACCCAAACTTTTTTTGAACACAGTAAGGGGGTAAATAAAATGTATTTATTAAGAACATGATTAAAAATCTTTTTTTTTTTTGAATAAGGATTTTGGGTCCTGTAAAAAATAAAAAATGAGAAGAGGAAAATACACTATGTCTATAACTAGTATTTTTGTAGTTAATCAAATTGTTAGTTAATGATGCTGTTGTAGTTTACTTATTTTTGTAAATAAAACATTTTATATATATTTTAAGAATTACATATATATAAAAGTGAGTTAGAAATGATCTATGTGGAATAAATTAGTATAGAAATGGTTGCTTTGGTAAAGACCCGTATTTTACTGGTCTGGAAAGCTAGGATATGTATATAGTATATAAAGAAAAAATATAGAGAAAGTCGGTGTGGAATAGACTTACAAAGACCCGTGTTTTTATGGGTCCAGTCATGTGAAACTTTTTATATCAATGGTCACGCTTCAAGTGGGTATATAGACTAGTACTAATATCCAATTGGCGATTTGCACGGTTACAGTAATATTTAACATTTTTTAAGGCTAATTATAATATAAATTTTTATTTTTCATTGCTTTAAGAAGGAAACAATAAGTATAATTTTTCTATATGAATATAGCTATTTTTCTACAGCTCACTACAAATAAATTGAAGTAAGGAATAAGTATAGAAAATGGCGATTTGCAATAAATTTACAAAGACTCGTATTTTACCGGCCATGACAGCTAGTACATAAATAATTTTACATGTATTTCATGTATTCTACAAAATAGTACAGAGCAATAATAAGTTAGTACAAAATTACTTATCAAATTTTTTTAAATTTACATTAATAACATATATATATATAATATATATATATATATATATATATATATATAATATATATAAATATATATATATATATATATATATATATATATATAAATATATATATATATATATACACATATATATATATATATATATATATATATATATATATATATATATATATATATATATATATATATATATACATATATATATGTATATATATATGTATATATATATGTATATATATATATATATATATATATATATATATATATATAATATATATATATATATATATATATATATATATATATATATATATATATATATATCTACAGCGCTTGAAATAGTTTTTAAAACTTGCCGATCAAATGTAATTTTTTGACAAAAACAGCTTATTTTCCCTTGAATTTTTCTAAATTTCTCTAAAAATAGCCGATCATTGATCGTTGATCGGCTGTTATTTCGAGCGCTGTATCTACTATAGCATATTTATATGCGCAATTGCTCACTTTTTTTGCTAGCCTAAATTAAGT